CCCCCCCCCCCCCCCCCCCCCCCCCACACACACACACACACACACACACACACACACACACACAAACACACACATACAAAGCTTCGGCTGAGTCTGCCTCATATACCCTTCTCTATACCTTCACACCTAAACCCTAAACCCCAAACCCTAAACCCGAGACCCTAAACCTAGACCCTATAGGCCCTAAGTCCTAAAGCGCAGTAGGCGTAGCAGTAGAGCTGTAGGCTAGTGGAAGCTAGAGGTGCTTACTCCTTAGGGGCCTCTGCATCAGCCAATATAGTTACTATTATTAAAACTTATAAGGGTTTATTAGGGTTTATTAGGGTTCATTAGGGTGTATCGGGGTTAATTAGGGTTTGTTAGGGTTTACTTGGGTTTATTAGGGTTTATTAGGGTTTATTAGGGTTTAGGGTTTCCCCGTCCTTCCACTGCCTATGCAGCCCTCCGTCTCACCCTCACTTTCCCCGCCTTCTCTGCGGAGGGAGGGCCCCCCCGTTGGGGGCCCCCCTGGGGCCCCTGGGGATACCCTACAGGGGGGGCCCCCTGGGGGGCCCCCCTATACCGAGGGTTCTTCTGTGGGGGGCCCCCCTGTGAGGGGCCCCTACATGGGGGGCCCCCCTGTGCGGGGCCCCTCCTTAGGGGGCCCCCCTGTGGGGGGCCCCTCCTTAAGGGGCCCCCCTTTTGGGGGTTTGCCCCGTTTGTTATTGTGTAATGGGGTCGCCCTTGGGTGTTTAAGGTTTAGAAGGGGCCCCCTGTTGATGACTTTACGCGATTCTTTTTATGTGGCTGTAAGGACAGTGAAGGGGGGGAAGAGGCTCTTAGGGTTAGAGAGGAATATACACCGTCTTGCTGCCTCTGCTGCTGCTGCTGCTGCTCGAAGAGAAGCCGCGCTGCTGCAGCAAGGGGGCCCCCAGCAACCGGGGGCCCCCATCGACAATGGGGGGCCCCTACACCGCAGTGCTGCTGCTGATTTTAATGAGTGCTTCCGCCATACACTCAAAAGAGACATCACCCTTCTGCTGCGCCTCTTTAAGTTCCTTGCTGCACCCCCAGCAGCAGCAGCAGCAGCAGCAGCAGCAGATGCAGCAATGCTTCCAGAGGGGACAGAGGTTGCACTTACCCTTATCCTCACCCCACTGGGGCTGCCTCAACTGGTAGAAGCCCTGGCGCTCCCTACGCTCCCCCCGGGGGCCCTTGCGGCCTCCTCCTCCTCCTCAGCAGCAGCAGCAGCAGCAGATGCAGCAGCAGATGCAGCAGCAGCAGAGGGGGGCAATTGCTCCTCTGCAGCGAAAGGAGACAACAGCAGCTTTGCAAACCTCAAACTTATGATGCTGGCGGAGCCCCTAGTCCCCTCATCGGCAGTCTGCTGCTCCCTTCCACCTCAGCAGCAGCAGCAGCAGGGGCAGCAGCAGCAGCAGCAGCAGCAGCAGCAGCTAGTAAGTGTTGGAGACTCAGACGGCTCACCAGGGACCCAAAAGGAAGAAGCCAGCAGCAAAAACAGCAACAGCAGCAGCAGCAGCAGCAACAGCAGCAGCAGCAGCAGCAGCAGCACTGTTCGTTGGTGCAACGTGCTGCTGCTGCCTCACGGGGGGCGGCAGCAGCCACACGAGAAGAGCACGGATTGGGTATTAGAGAGGCAGCAGCTGCTGCAGGAGGCGCAGCAGCAAGCAGCAAAAAGAGGTGTCCCCATTGAGGAGGTCCTTCTTGACAGAGATGGCAGTCTCCTTGAAGGTACGTGTGCTGTTGCTGCTGCTGCTGCTGCTTTTGCTGCTCGCCCTGGTGCTGCTGCTGCTTTTGCTGCTCTCCCTGCTGCTGCTGTTGCGCTTGCTGCTTTGGCTGTTGCTGCTGCTGCTGGTGCTTTTATTGATGTTGATATTGCAGCGGCAGCTCTGCTGCTGCTGCTGCACTGGCCGTGCTTAGTGTGTTCTTCCTGCTGCTGCTGTTGCTGCTGCTGTTGCTGTTGCTGCTGCTGTGTATATTAGGGGTATTATCTGCTGCTGATTGCTGCACTTTGTGCTGCATGCAGGGTGCAGCAGCAATTTTTTTGTATATTCTCGTGCACGGGGCTGCGTACTGACGGCTCCGGTGTCTCTGTGTCTCCCTGGAGTTACGCGAGAGCTTTCATTGAGTGTATTTGCTGCTTTAAATTTAGAGACAGTCTTCGAGGCCCCGCGCTGGAGACAGAGAAAAGATGAAGATTGGGCCGCGGCGTGGATTTCCTCCGCCAGCAGATTGCTGCTACCCGTCAGGACCCTCATCAAACCCAAATCACCTCTGCAGCAGCAGCAGCAGCAGCAGCAAGAGCAGCAGCAACAGCAGCAGCAGCAGGTAGAGCAGCAGAAGCAGGAGGTGAAACAGCAACAGCAACACCTGGAGCGGCAACAGCACCAGCTGGAGCAACAGCAGCAGAACCAGCTGGAGCAGCAGCAGCAGCAGCAGCAGCAGCAGCAACAGCAGCAGAAGGCTGCTTGGATTGCCGTTGATTCCCCAGTGGGTGAGGAGGTACGAGTTTATTTGCTGCACCCAGACGACACTCCACCTCAGCACAAGCCCTCGCAACAACAACAGCAGCAGCAGCAGCAGCAGCAGCAGCAGCAGCAGCAGCAGCAGCAGCAAGAAGGGGAGAGCTTTGCTGCTGACTTTGAGGAGATAGAATTTGATGTGGGTCCAGACTCCCTCGCAGCGCGAGCAGCGCAGTTAACAAAAGAAATGGCAGAGGCAGAAGCAGAAATCATCTTCCCCTGATGTGGGGTGCTTGCTGCTGCTGCTGCTGCTGCTGCTGTTATTGCTGCTGCTGCTGCTGTAGCAGCAGCAGGGGTGCAGAGGCGTTTCCGTTTGGGCCCGTTCATACTGAAGGAGACACTCGACGGCCAATGGAGTTGTGCTGCCGAGGCAGCAGCAAATAGCTGCTCCAGCAGCACGCCGCTGCTGTCCCTTTGTTATCTCTATCCCTATACGAGCAGCAGCAGCAGCAGTTGCTGCTGCTGCTGCTCCTTCTTCTGTCTTTTTTGGTGGAGATAAGCATTTTTGTGTTTTTGTTTGCAAGCTGCTGCTGCAAGTTGCGGCTGGCTGTTGTGCTTGCGTTGCTGATTAGCCGAGCAGCGGTGAGGTGTATATACACCTCAAAGCGTATATACACCTCAAGGTGTATATATGCATTACCCCTTAAGGTGTATATACACCGCAAAGTGTATGTACACCTCAATGTGTACATTCACTGTCCCTTAAGGTGTACATACACCTCAATGTGTACAGACAATACACCGCAAGATGCACAGACACCCCAGGGTGTACATGCACTGGCTCTTAAGGTGTACGTACACCTCAAGGTGTACATACACTACGCCTTAAGCAGTACATACACCTCAAGGTGTACATACACTACGCCTGAAGGTGTACTGTACGTGCATACACCTGAAGATGCAGATACACCCCAAGGTGTACATGCAGCTAAAGACAGTAATGCAGCGTTTGCTTTTGGAGACAGCCGAAGAAGACAAAGAATATGTACAATAATACTAAATAATAAAATTATTATTATGGTGATAATAATTATTATATTTTTCGTGTTTTATCAAACAACAAAAAAGAACAACAGGGGTCTCCTCTCTGCTGCTGCAGCACTTCTCGTCTGTCTCCTTAGGCTCTTGAGTTCAAAGGAGACGCATTAAGGGCCTATAGCTGTGTCTCTCTTTCTTATACAGCTGGTAGCACCCATGCTTCTTCTCTCTTTATAAACTCCAAGCAGCAGCAGCAGCAACAGCAGCAACAGCAGCAGTAGCAGCAGCAGCAAGAATAGTCTCGAGCTGGGGTGTCTACCCTCTGTTGCAGTTTGCAGCTCCTGCACTGCTGCTGAGATAAGAGAGACACCATCAGGCTAGCTAGCTTGTTTTTTCGTTTCTCTTAACTAGCCATCCACTCCTCTAGCCTATTCTCTGGCTAGCTAGCTAGAGAATAGCTAGCTAGCTAGCCAGCTAGCTAGCTGCCTAGGGGTCTGTTACACGGGAGGGGAGACAGGCGGTTGTTGCTGCAGCTACAAGCGGTGATACTCAACAGCATCTTTAGGGGTCCATCTGCATGCTGTTGTAGCTGCCTGACCTAGCTAGCCAGCTAGCTAGCCAGCTAGCTAGCGGGGGAGAGAGTTAGCCCAGTGGAGAATGCTATCTAGAAAGACTACTGGCTGGCGAGTTGGCTAGCTATCCACCTAGATAACTAAATAGCTAGTTAGCAAGCTAGCTAGCTAGGGGCTAGCTAGCTAGCTAGCTATCTGGCTAATAATCTGAAGACATTACAGCTTGGCGACGGCAGAAACCGTTCGGGTGTATAGGCAGGTCGTTAGTGGATTTTCTTTTACTAAACAGGGCAGTCTATTGCATATAAACAGCACTTATTGCATATATATATATACATATATATATGTGTATATATATATATTATATAATATACTATATATCACATATATTATATAAAAATATATTATATATTCACATACACTACATACATTACATATATTATATATTATAAATAATCGTACGAATTAAAGACAAAGACAAACAGCAGCTACACATGTCTCTCCAACCCCAAAGGGGGGCCCCACACTAGAGCTGGGGGCCCCCTCTCTGCTGAGGGGCCCCCAGTTAGATGCTCGCTGAGACAAACAGAAGCAAATACCAGCAGCAGCGGCTTGCTGCTGCTGTTGCTGCTGCTGCTGCTGAAGCGGGTGTTGTTTGGTGGGGTTGTTGTTATTTGGTAGCGAGCGGCATGTGTGAATTGTTAATTTTTATATAATATGTTTATTAAAGAAAAGAAATAATCTAAAGAGCCTTTATTATTGTAATCTTGCACTTTAGAGCATCTCCTGCTGCTGCTGCTGCTGTTGCTCCTGCTGTTGCTGCTGCAACAGCAGCAACAGCAGCAGCAGCAGCAACAGTAGCTACTGTATACTACAGGTCGGGGGGCGACCTTCTGGGTTATTTCTTTATTAAATTAAATAAATCTAGCAGTTTTTATTTGTTGTTTTTCTTATAAACAAACACTCTCTAGACTCCTTATCGCTCTGAGGGCCCCCTTAATGTTTTCTGCTCAGGGGGCCCCCCGGCAGCAGCAGCCCGTCACCTCCCCCATCCAGGGGCCCCCATGGGGCCCCCTTTTATCAACCCGGGGCCCCTTGGGGGGCCCCCTTGGGGGCTCTTCTGGGGGCCCCGGGGGGCCCCTAGACCCTGCTGTTGCTGCTGCGCTGCAGGTGCTTCAGGGAGCCCCCCTTTGGACTGAGTCTGCTGAGTATTGGGGCTCTGCTCCTCCTGCAGAAGCAAAAGACTATTTAGAAGCCCTCACAGTATTGGCTAATGCATGCACATGCACTGCAACACGCGAGGCAGTGCTACGATGGGGGGGCCCCCATGAGGGGGCCCCCTCTCAAGGGGAGGGGGGGCCCCCTGGGGGCCCCTTGCTGCTGCAGCACCTCTTTCGAGTTTTATGCTGCGTGTGCCGCGTTTGCTTGGAGAATAGGGGTATCGTCTATGGGGGCCCCTCTGGGGGCCCCCCTTCTGCTGCAGGAGAAGAGGATATAGGGGGCCCCCAAGGTGGGGTTGTTGTGTTTCCTGCTGCTGATGTATGGGTACGGTGGGGGCCCCCATTGGTTGAGGCCCTTCATACTGATTCGTTTGCTGGAGATACACTGCAACGCCTAACTCGTCTGCTGTATGTCTTGTTGAGCTGCTTAGGGAGGTCTCCTCTTGCTGCTGCTGCTGCTGCGCTGCTGCAGCCAGCAGCAGCACAACACGCCTTTTGCTTCCTGGCTACAATGGCTGCTGCAGCAGCGGAACAGGAGGCCCTTAGCATACCCTCAGCAACAGCAACAGGAACAGCAGCAACACCAGCAGCAGCAGCAGCAGCAAACTCGACAGCAGCAACACCCGCAGCGGACGCCTCTGCTGCTGCAGAGCTGCCTTCCTCGGTAACCCCGACTAGCAGCAGCAGCAGCAGCAGCAGCAACAGCAGCAGCAACAACAGCAGCAGGAGGGAGACATCGTTGCTTCTAGCTCTATTGGGAGCATATGAGGGCCTCCTCTCTCTGCCTAAAGTTGCTGCAGCAGCAAGAGGGGGCCCCCAAAGGCCTCTGCATAAAGCAGTGCAGCGGGGGGCTGCGCGACTTCTAGGAAGAGCAGCAGCAATAACCGATGCTGCTGTTGCTGTTGCTTCTTGGCTAATATACCAGCGCCTCTCTAGCAGCAGCAGCAGCAGCAGCAGCGGTGAGGGATCGTTCAGCCCCTCGAATGTGCGGCACCTGCTGGCTCTGCTAATTGCTGCAGCAAGGCAGCAGCTGCAGCGGCCTGTGGAGCAGCAGCTATCTGTCTCCTGTCTCCTTGAAGCACTGAAGGAGCCTTATATGCATGAGCGCCTCAGCAGCTGCGCCCACGAAGCAGCATTAGCTTTTGCTGCTGTTTGTCTGCAAGCGTTGCAGGCTGTTGCTGCAGCAACAGAAGCAGCAGAAGCAGCAGCAGCAGAAGCAGCAGCAGCAGCAACCGCAGAGGCGGAGGGGGAAGACAGGGATGTTGGGGGCTCCTCTCAAGAGAGGGGAGATAGACAGCGGGGTCTTGCTGCAGCACGTGCTGCTGCTGCCGCTGCTGCTGCTGCTGCTGCTGCTTCGAGTGCTGCACCACTTGCGGAGATGCTCGCGCTGCTGTGCGTCTCTAATGCTTCGCTTAGGGCCTCCATTGGCTACAGGCTCTGCTGCCTCCCACCGCAGCAGCAAGACAGCCCTGCTGCTGCTGCTGCTGCTGCTGCTGCTGGAGCTGCTGGAGCTGCTACAGCACAGGGCGGCGCCAGCGGCAGCACCCGAGTAGAGAGCCAAACCCCGCAGCAGGAGCAGCAGCAGCAGGAGCAGCAGCAGCAGCAGCAACAAGCGTCTCCTCCGAGAGGCCGCAGCAGCGCGGCCCTTTCAGCGCTGAGCTTACCTGCACTTTTATATTTTGCTGCACATGGAGAGGAGCTTGGCTGTATATACACCTCAGCATTTCTAGAGAGTTGCTTGAGGTGTACAGACACCCGAAGCTTAGGGCGGTATTTGTCTCCTCAGCAAAAACAAAAGGCCCTCACTGCACTCGCAGCAAACGCTAACTTGCTTCGTAAGACACACACGAGCAGCAGCAACAGCAACAGCAGCAGCAGCAACAGCAGCAGCAGCAGCACTACAGGCAGCAGCAGCAGCTCCGCTTCTCTTGTCGTGGGGCGATTCTGTTTGTGTTTGAGGGTTTTACAGGTGTTTCGATTTGCTGCCTTTGGTTTTTGTTTGTTTCTGTTCTGTTGCTGCTGCTGCTGCTGCAGCTGCTGCTGCTGCAGCACGAAGCGGAGAGGAGACGCGTTTAGGGCTGCGAGGAGCAGCAAATTTGTGTCTCCTTGGGGCCCTGTGGGAAGGGACTGATGCTCTCGGTGCAGCAGTGGAGGCCCTCTGCATCAAACCTCTTGCTGCTGCAGGTAGCTCTTAGCAGCAGCAGCAGCAGCAGCATTAGCAGTAGCAGGAGCAGCAGAAGTAGCAGCAAGAGCAGCAACAGGAGCAGCAGCAGCAGCAGCAGTAGGAAGAAGCGAATTTGGGGGCTTGATACATCGCAGGATTGCCGATGCTGCTGCTGCTGCTGTTGCTGCTGCTGTTGCTGCTGCTGCAGGGGAAGAAGCTGCCCAGCGGGGAGACACTCAATTGCTGCTGCGGCTGCTGCATGCATCATTTGATTTGAGTGCATGCACGAAGAGACACCTGCCTCGGTCTCTGCGGCTGCTGCAGCAAACTGCTGCTGCTCTTGCTGCTGGGCCTCTCACCGCCCCACAAACAGCAGCAGAAGCAGAAGAAGCGTTTCTGCTGCTTCATAAGTGCTGCGCGCTGGTTCGTCCTAACGTACCTACTACTACTACTACTACTACTACTACTGCTGCTGCTGTTGCTGCTGTCGCTGCTGCCGCTGCTGCCGCTGCTGCTGTTACTGTCGCTGCTTCTCCTGCTGCCGTTGGTGTTGCTGCTGCTGTTGCTGCTGCTGCTGCTGCATGGTTGGTGAGGTTTGTGAGGAGGTGCTGCGTTTGCTGCTGCTGCTTGCAGTGTCTCCCTGTCTCCTTTCGCTCGGTTCCCCCAATCGACTGCATTCAATTCACAAGCAATGAGTCTCCAGCTTCAGCAGCAGCAGGCTCTGCTGCTGCTGCTGCTGCTGCTGTGGGGGGGTGGGGGGACTCGGGGGTGCTGGAGGGGAGGTGCCCTTTAGTGCAGCGGCTGCAGAGCCTCAGCAAATGGGGTGAGGCTTCATGAGGCTGCTGTTGCTGCTGCTGCTGTTGCTGCTGCTGCTGCTGTTGCTGCAGCTGATGCAGTCGCTGTTGCTCCCATTGCTGCTCCTCCGGTTGGTGGTGCTGTTGCTGCTGTTCAAGTTGCTGCTGATGTTGCTGCTGCTTCTGCTATTACTGTTGCTACTGCTATTACTGCTTCTCTAATTGCTGCCACGGTACCTGCTGCTGCTGCTGTTGCTGCAATTGTTGCTCCTCTCATTGCTGCTAATGTTGTTGCTGCTGCTGCTGCTGCTGAAGGGTTTGTCTCTGGGGAGAGTTCTTGGCTGCTGAGCTGCCGTGCTGTTGCTGCTGCTGTCGCTGAGGGGACCCGCAGCAGAGAAGCGGAGATGCGGAGGCAGCAGCAAAGCCTAGAGGAAGCAAGAAACAACGTTAGCTGCTGTACACTGCTGCTGCTGCTGCGGTTGCTGCTGCTGCTGCTGCTGTGGGAGATGCTGGTGGAGTTGCTGCTACGCATGCTGCTGCTGTTGCTGCTGTTGCTGCTGCTGCAGCTAGGGGAGATGCTGGTGGAGCTGCTGCTACTCATGCTGCTGTTGTTGCTGCCGTTGCTGCTGCTGCGGTTGCTGCTGCTGCTACGTGCAGCAGCAATTGCTGTTTTAGTTTTTGAGTTATACATTTATAAATAAAACAAACAGCAGTTGGGGCCTTATTAAAGAGCTTCTCTGTTTTGCTGCAGGCTGTACAGACAGCGCAGCGCCTGGCGCTCATTAAAGAGGCCCACGAAGTGAGTCCCCCTAAACCCTAAACCCTAAACCCTATCCGCCTTGGAGATCAGGGTTTAGGGTTTATGGTTTGCAGTTTTTGTGCTAAGGGTTTAGGGTTTAGGGTTTCCGGTTTACGGCTTTATAGCTTGGGACTTCAGCGCATATGGTTTAGGGTTTAGGGTTTAGGGTTTAGGGTTTAGGGTTTAGGGTTTGGGGTTCGCTGCAGGTGGAGTTGTCTCGACTTAAAGAAGGAGCCGAGCGAATGGATCGGCTGCATGCAGCTGAGCAGCAGCGTCTGTCGGAGGAGACACACAAGTGATGCATACACCTGAATAAACTAACTGTCTCCGTTTAATAAACATAAATTAACTGTCTCCTTTAAAACATATATATTAACTGTCTCCTTTGTATACACAAATAATAACTGTCTCCTTTTATACGCAAATATTTATTGTCTTTTTTCTTAGTTGTTCATTTGGTGCGCGTTCGTCTGGATTGAAGCTTTTGCTGTCTGAACAAGCAATGGTGGGGCCCACTAGCTGCTGCTGCTGCTGCTGTTGCTGCTGCTGCTGCTGCAGGCTGAGGGCGGAGTTGGCGAGGGAGCAGCAAAGAGGAAGAGAACTAGTAGCTGAATTTGAGAGGCTTCTTGATGCAAAAGAGACCGCCATTACTAGGTATGCCTCTTGCTGCTGTTGCTGCTGCTGCTGCTGTTGCTGTTGCTGCTGCTGCTGCTTCTGTTGCTGCTGTTGCTGGTGCTGGTGGTGTTGCTGTTGCTGGTGCTGGTGGTGCTGCTGCTGCTGGTGCTGGTGGTGTTGCTGCTGCTGGTGGTGTTGCTGCTGGTGGTGGTATGGCTGTTGCTGTTGTTGTGCTGCTGTTTTTGCTGCTGCTGGTTTTGCTGCTGCTTCTGCTGCTGCTGCAGTTTCTTGGGGTTCACTGTGGGGTTCTGCGCGTGTCTTTATGGTGGTGTGCTGCTGCTGTTTGCTTCTATTGACACTACTGCTTCCACATTACTGCTGCTGCTGCTGTTGCTGCTGCTGCTGCTGCTGCTGCAGCCTAAGGGCCAGCTTAGAGGAAGGTAGGAATGTGACGGGGCCTGATGCTTCGGCTATATCGCGAGACCTGCAAATTCAAACTGCACTTAATGTTAAACAGGTGCTGCTCTCTTGCTGCTGCTGCTGCTGCTCGTGCTGCTGCTGCTGCTCGTGCTGCTGCTGCTGCTGCTCGTGCTGCTGCTGCTGCTGCTGCTGCGGCGGCGGCGGCGGCATTCAAAGGAGGTGGTGGTTTTTCGTGTGTCTGTTTGCTGCTGTACTGCATGCATGCATGCCTATGCATATATGATGTATAACAACATACCTAAAGAGTATTTGATTATTTTTTTATTGTTTTGTTTGTGTACAGAAAGAAGAAATTGCTAAACAAGAAGAAAAACTGCGCTTGCTGCTGGAGAGACAGCAGCAAACATCAAGCAGCCTCAACGCACTCACAGACAAACACAGACAGCTGCAGGTACACCTGGAAGCTGCATGTACACCCCAGCACCTACGCCCTGCTATACTTCCCCCTCAGCAAGCTGCTTAGCGTTTAGGGTTCAGGGTTTAGGGTTTAAAAGAGCAGGGTTTGTGGGTGTGCATCGCAGGAGGCGAAGGCCCAGCTGCAGGTAAACTATGAAAAACTTCAAGATGATAACGAGCAGCAATTCAGGTCAGCACGCTGCTGCTGCTGCTGTTGCTGCTGTTGCTGCTGCTGCTGCTGGCGTCCATCACGTCCTCCCTGCCGCAGTTGCTGCTGCTGCTATTGCCGTACCTGAGACCCCTTCTGCTGCTGCTGCTCTTGCTGCTGCTGGTGTTGCTGCTGCTGCTGGTCTTGTTCCGAACTCCTCTTGCCGCTGCCTTGAGAGAAGCAGGCGTGTGCATGTAGCAACAGCAGCAGAAGCAGCAGAAGCAGCAGCAGCAGAAACCGCAGCAGCAGAAGCAGCATGTGGGCTTTGTTCGGGTGTACAGACAGCTGATTTTAGTAATGAAGGCGCTGGCTGAGCAGCAAGCGGAGAACGAAACCCTTAAGGAGGAGCGCATGCAATCTGCAGCAAACCAGCAGCAGCAGCAGCAACTGGAGCAGCAGCTGCAGCAGCTGCAGCACCAGCTGCAGCAAATGGCTCGCGAGCAGGAAGTAGGCCCCCAGCACATCTCTTCGCTTAATCTGCTGCAGCACCTACACTAATTCTTGTATATGTTTATCTGCACAAGTATATAAATTAATAAACAAATACACAGGCATTTGCATGCAAATCTATATATATATATTATATATAAGGAAATAAACGCATGAATATATATATATATATATATATATTATATTTTATATATTGGAGGGGGGGTGATATTATATATAATATATATTCTACA